AATGTTTTGCTGTTGTTAGGTTTGATATCTTAGCTCACCGCGAATCAAACGTAGATCTAGATCTAGAAGTAGGTCAGGCTGAAATAAGGGGGGTGGGAACTACCGTAAAAGCACCGTTTTTCCTCTACTACTGCTCAATTTCTAAAATGTCTTTCTTCTCAAGACAGTCATCATTGACAGTGACAGGCGAGTAGTCAGTGGTGGTCTCAGTCTCACTGAACACAAACTCCTCCTGTCAATACTCGTCGTTGACGTTGAATATGCATGCATACCATACTTCGACTGCTTGGTTTATGAAAGGGAGTGTATACAGACCCAGTAACCGGGAACAAAGTCGCAAAGTATACAGACCCAGTAGGGGAACTCTTTTGTGATTTCGGAGAGTTTCTGCACCCTCTTGGCTCAGGGTAGACCTAGGTTCTTCTAGATTGTGGCCGAGGTCTAGATCTAGATCTAGGCAGACAGACATAAATCTTTGATCTAGTTGCGCGGCTAGCCTAGATCTTATCTAGATCTAGATCTAAATGAAGATTGCGGATGTCTTTTCGATGAACGATTGTTTTTCCTCCATTTTGGAGTTGGAGGAATCGCAAGACGCAATTTAAAGAAAAGAACAATGTCATAATTTCAATCGAGCAGTCACCCTCTCTATTTCTCTCTCTCTCTCTCTCTCTCTTTTTCTCTGTATCGCTCGCCTTCTCTTTTTCTTTGCACGGAGTGTCTACGTACACGGTAACCGGGCACGTAGCCTCAGGGTCTACGTACACGGTAACCGGGCACGTACGGTAGCCTCAGTGTCTACGTACACAGTAACCGGCAACCGGGCATGTAGTCTCAATGTCACGTACACGGTAACCGGGCACGTAGCCTCAATATCTACGTACACGTTAACCGGCAACTGGGCGCCTCTCATTATCTACAAACACGGTATGCAAGTATTTAGTTTCGTGGGGGGGGGGGCTTCAGCTGGGTACACGGTAACTGCTTTGCTCCCTTCTTGACGTTGACATTAATTTTTCCTTTTTCACCGTGTAGTCTCAATGTCGCATACATACACAGTTACCATGTACATGTACTTAGTTTCGGGGGGTGGGGGGAGGGGATGCGGAAGGGGTCTTGAGCTAGGTGCACGCACGGTAACTCTAACTGCTTCGCTCCCTTCATGACGTTGACTTTTTTCCTTTTTTTCACCATGTAGTCTCAATGTCACACACAACTAACCGGGCACATAGCCTCAATATCTACGTACACGGTAACCGGCAATCGGGCGCCTCTCATTATCTACGAACACGGTAACTGGATGTTTTGTTTCGGGGGAGGGGGCTTGAGCTAGGTGCACGGTAAATGCTTCGCTCCCTTAATGACCTTGACCTTTTTCCTTTTTCACTCCGCTTTTTGTGTGTTGTGAGCGGAATGTAAATCAAAAAATGACCCCAATCTATCATCTGTCATCTTTCCTAAGGGAGAGCAAAATGAAGTGACACTGAAAATCTGCGAATCTGGAACAGAAAGCTAAAAATAGATGTTTACAAAACATGTAATACTATCACGAGAGAGAGGGAGAACGAGACTCAGAAAACAGAGAGAGAGAGAATTAAAAACGTATGCTCTTGATGAGGTCATACCTCTCTTAAAACAAAGGACAATGAAACCAGGGGATCCTTGACTATCACCCATCCAATGAAACGCGGACCTTTTGGTTAAAAAACGTGGCTTACTAGGTATGAGTATGACGGATCCCAATTCCGTACAGGGCTTGCACCAATGCACACTTTTCCATAGCAGGAAGCTCTAGTAATAATCAAAATTCTAAATACTAAAATTTGCTTCCAAGTTCAGTTTTTTTCATTCGATGTTGCCTTCAACCCCACCCCTCCCCCCGACTGTACCTTTTAAAAACAATAATCCCCCTATTCCGGAGCCCTATACTTCGCGCAGCGCGCACGTTGAATGAACTTTGGTGACCCCAACGATCACTGGTACTCACAATGTGATGCGAAAGTACAGGTTCACTGACCGGTCACGATGTCGAGCCCGACAAGACGCTTGTATAACTTTATTTGTTTTACGCAAGTGAAAGCACAGGACAATGATTTATTTTCCTGGCTACACAGCGTTTATAATGCACAACCCGTATGTTACAAATGATGTGTTAATCAGACTGCTACCGGCAAATTTCTGGGTGGTAAAGAAAGCGAAAGTAGATCGAGCTTCGGTACCACGCATACACTTACGCTTGCAGCCAAAGCGCCCTGTTCATACCTAAAACTATCTTTTGTTTTCCAAAGAGTTAGCACTTGCAACAACAAAAAATTTATATAAGTGCCGAAGATTAGATGTGTTACAAGAGAAACAAACACAAAAAGAAGGGAGAGAAAGATAAGGATGATAGATGTTGAATAGGAGAGAAGGAGCAGACCACACCAGAGCACCCACCAACTAAATAAATGTCAACACTCTTTGTGACTTGACGTAGACTTTTAATAATCAAGCACAATGAAGACATACGTCAGACGATGCACGACTGGGACAGAAACGGAACAGAAATAAAGCAGATGAATACGATTGACAAATAAGGGAAATAATAATAATGGACACAAGGAACAGATACGAATGATGGCACATACATGTGGTCTTGTAGCTACCGAATGATATTCCTCTACGCCCCCCCCAAGTCTTTGGAGTAGAACAGAAAAGACTGATGAAAT